TAATAATAATAATAATAATAATAATAATAATAATAATAATAATAATATAAGGCTCACGTTCTGCTTAAGTTAGCAATTATTTATTTTTCAAAGTGGAGAAGTGAAACATTCAACTTTCCCCCATAAAAAACCAAAACTACCCAAAATAATTTAGTCCAGCAGCAAGACCTGTGTAATACAACAACTTTTAAACATCCAAGCTGACTGTTGCAAGACGAGATTGCAACTGCTTCAGAGAAATCCAGTCAGTTAGGACTGTTTGGTACGAAGAAATTATTGTATACTGCACATTGCAGAAATAGAAATCTTATCTAGTAGGAATGGCCAAATGGGTAGATACCATTCTCTGAGGTTGTTGTTGTTTTTTAAAAAAGAAAACCCACCAAGAAAACAAACCAATCCCATAGAGGTTGCTCCCTAAATGCTGAATAGGCACCGAACCAGCGTTTTTCAAACTTGTTTCTCAAACTTTCCCAACACACTTTGCTGGGGAATTCTGGGAATTGGGGTTGGCAAGTTTGGGAAACTCAATCCAGCCCAACACAAGCTCAATGGGGTTCTGTAAAAGGATTCAAATCTCACACCAGAAGCCAAAGTATGGCAGAAAACTCACTAGGACTCTCAGACAAAGGGTGCCCACTTTTAAAACTGAGGTAAACAAAGGCCTGTCGTTTTGCAGGCTTTTGTGAAGTTTTTAACCCTCTCGGGGTGGGGGAAGAAATGGCTCTCTGCTCTTGTTTTAAACATGGGTTAGTTCTGAATCACATTCAAGCCGTTCTTTAATGCGTGATTATTTGAAACAAGAGGACAGGAGGCAGCCGGCGCTGTGCGTTTATTTGGAGTATGGGACCTGCACGTTTTACAGTAACAGTAACCAGAGACAGCAAACCCTTCTTGGGTTAGTTCAGGCCCGCTAAAACCAAGATCATCTCCCGCCATTGCCCTGCCTCCCCCCCCCCGCCCCTTCCCCTACACACACACACACACACAAAAAGCAACGTACAAAGGATTTCCGCCTGCTTCCACCGCAGCCACAAGCGTTTCTTGCAAAGTTAATCCCGCTGGGTTTGATGGGGCTTCCTCTAGAGTAAGCAAGCTTAACTCGTTTGTGGATAAGGAAAGAAAGGAGCGACTGGCGAACTCGGTCGGCCCCGAAGCAATTTTTGTATTTGGCTACAACAAAGCATCGGGGTGGCGTGGTGGGGGGGAGGGAATGGGAAAAATCGGTGGGGCGCATAGGCCTGATTCGGGAGACGAACCAGAAAGTTGCAGATCTGGAGAGACGAAACATCAGCTGAGAAATTAAAAAAAAGTATTCGCGATGCATTGGGCCGAGTGATCCTTCGCAACATGGGCTTTGTTTTGAGTAGCCGATCTGGGCCAAATTCGCCAGTGACCTAATTGCAAAGGAAGGGGGGGGGGGAAAAAGAGAGATCGGGCTGTGCGTTTTCCTCCATGCACACAGCAAAATCCGAGGGAGTTGCAAAGGACACGCATCCGAAGGGACCCCTCTTGCAAGCTTAAGTAGAGGAGGGTGCGCTGAAGAATCCTCCTTTTTTTTTTTTTTTTGCAAGCAGGAAAACCTTCCCTTCTTTCCTCTCTCTCTCCCCCACAGCCACCCCAACCCCCGTCGGACGAACCCATGACCGTCGCACCGACCTGTTGCAGCTCGTTGGTGAAATAAAGGAAAGTGATTGCCACGCAGATGGATTGCAAGAGCACGGCGAAAATCAGGACGAGCCCGCAGGTCTGGCCCGTGCTGGGACCGCCGGATGCCACCATGGTGGTCGCTGGCGGGCAACAACAAAAAGAAAAGTGGGAGGGGGATTCACCCGAGTGAAAGAAAGAGAGCAGACGGGCGACGGGGGCAGACTCCGTCCCTGTGTGGAGGGAGAGGCCTGCCGCGCTCAGATTGGGGTAGTTAAGGTGGAGCCACGTCCGGACTTCGCCTTTCAAAACCCGCTTTGCTCCTCCTCCTTTTCCTTTCTTCTCTCTCCGACTTGGCAGTTTTGGAAAATCTCTGGGTAGTTGGGAAAATATTCCGGGATGGAGAGGGAGGGAGGGAGGGAAGGAAAGAAGGACAGGAGAAAGAAAGAGAGAAAGAGAAAGAAAGAAAAAGGAAAGAAAAAGAAAGAGGGAAAGGAAGGAAGAGAAAAAGGGAGAAAGAAAGAAAGAGAAAGAGGGAAAGGAAGGAAGGAAGAGAAAAAGGGAGAAAGAAAGAAAGAAAGAAAGAAAGAAAGAAAGAAAGAAAGAAAGA